GGGCTGCGCGCCGCGGGAGGGCGGGCGGGGCGCCCAGGTGAGGCGCAGGTGAGGCCGCGGGGGCTTCCGGCGGGCCTGCGCCCCCGCGGCAAGGCCGAGGGCCGGGCCGCCTCCGAGGGCGGGACCCCCCGGCGCCCGGCAGGCTTCCGGGAGGGGCGGGAGCTGAGCGGCCGAGCCCGAAAACAAGCCCGGGGCGCAGAGCCCCTGGGGGTCGGACCCCTTCCCCGCGGGAGGGGCTCGCGCTTACCTGGCGGCCGAGAACCTGGTGGCAGCTCCGGACGCAGGGACCCCTCCTGGCAGAGGCTGTGTGGGGTGGGCGCCCCGGGTTCGGGCCTGGAGCCGGGAAGCGCCAGAGGCCCGTGAAAGGCCAGGGTCAGCCGTGAGGGGCTCCCCAGCACCGGCAGTGGCGCCGCCGCCTTGCTGGGGGGCACGTCCTGGAGACCTTGTAAAGCCTCGCCTCCCGGCAGGAATGCCAGCCCACGCCCACATCAGGTGGGCTGGAGAGGCATGTGTGCTGCCGCCGGCCGTCCTAACCGGCCTCATACCCTGACCCCGACCCCCTCACCCTGGGGGAGAGCCGCCAGCCGGGAGGTAAGAACAGGAGCTGAACCGTTCTTTGGTGAGCAGAGCAGAGCATTTGGGGCCTTTGGTGCAAGGAGGATGAGCGGCTTTGTCCTCCCTAGATTGGTGTCTAGACTGAGACGCCTGGGTGCCCGCAGTACTTTTTAAATTCTGGCACAATGAGGCTTTAAGGTGCAGGGCTAGGTGTCCCTGGAGGCCGAGTCCTGGGCTCCCGGGTGCAGGTGGCAGTGAAGCCGAGCCCCTCAGCTCACAGTTTTCTGCACACACTGTTGAGGGGGGGGTGGGCTCTGAATGATTCAGCTCATGTAGTTGATTGTTTGAAAGCTGCAAGCTGTCGCTGGAGAGTCCCTCTGAAAGTTTAACCTCATTCTTGCGCTAGTTAATTTGACAATTCGGAAAACTGTTCACTGGGAGTCAGAGCTCTTGTCTACAATCGTCTGACAGTGGTGAACACGGTAAACACGATTCGTAGAGATCAGCGTTTTCCCTTCCCTCGAGTTTGCTACCTAGTGTAGATATCGCTGCCGCCCAGGGCTTTGGGGCTTATCCCTGGGCCCATTTTTAAAGATAGTATTTATTCTTGGTTTAAACTCTTCACAGCCCAAGGCCTGTGTGACCCTCTCATAAATCTCTGCAGTTTTGCAGAGGCAGCTTCACTAACGACCAAGGCAAGGTGGTAACAGCCTCCTCGCCAGTGAAAGAGCCCCCCACCCACTGTTGGTCCCCACTTCTTGGCAGCTATAGGGGGACCTCCCCGGAGGGTGATGCTCTGGGAAAGGGAGATCAGGGCTGCAGTGACCTAGGGACTGGCAGACAGCTCACCTGCTTCCCCATCACCATCCTATGGTGTCCCATCTATGGCCCAGGATAGGTGAGAGTAACAGTGACAAACTGTAGTTATCTCAGGATGAGTGCTCCCAGAAATTAATATGGAGCCCTTAAAGTAGTGCTGTTTCACTCCAAGTAAATAATTTCCTATCTGCAGCTTCAACCTGTGAGTTAGGTATCCCTGGTTGTCTTTCATCCCTACAAAGTCTGTTTAAATAGTGGGCAAGGTGCTACACAGCAGAGGACACCTAATCCCCGAGATGCTTTGCAAACATTGGCTGCTGTGTCACCACACCGAACCTGGCCTTAAAGAGAATTTCAGGTAATTGCAAGAAACTCTTATTTTAGTTTCTCTTTTTGAGCACAAATCAGCAAAAGCAAATGGCTCACTTCTGAAGTTGTTGCAACCACTGGTCAGCTGCTTGTCTTACCTGTTTGGGCATGTCTGTGCCTCGGTGTCCTTGCCATGCTTTCCTGGAAAGCGCTATGGTAGCTTTCCAAGATGTGCTTGTCAGGAAGGAAACTCCAGGCAAAGAAGGATCAACCTCTGAAGCAAAGCACACACACGGGCCAGTTTCAGCCCACCCACCCAGGTTCCCAGGGTTGTGACAGCCTGGCCCAGCTCCATTTCTGGGACAGAACTCAATTTTCCTGTTTCTGTAAGTGCTGCAGAGCTCTCCTCTCGCATCTCGGCAGCTTTGCATTCATTCCAACTTTGGCAGGAGGGTGGTCAGGAGAGGTCAGAGAAACATGTTAAGAATTAACAGTTGTGTGATGGATCTTGTATTTGCTAATTGACTACTTGCAGCCTGAGTTGTAGCCCTCTCTGCAGCAATGCCCCAGACCTCTAGTGTAAAGGCTGTTTGCAAGCAGGTCTTCAAAGCGCTCCCCAGACTGGCCCAGCAGTTCTGACACAGCCAATTAGGTCTGAGGTTTGGAAGCTGTGGTGTAACCACACAGGATGAAAAGCGGTGCATTACTATGTTTGGGGCAACTTCCGTGCTAATTAGCTAAAAATCATGACATGGTCCCATGAAACCATCTGGCAAATACACACTTGATGTTTTCAAACAAAAAGGCTTCAGTGTACATGACTCTTTAAGGACATTTGGAGAGGTAGCTTTGGAATTGCTCACCACGTGACTTTGTGTTTCAGGAGCTTGTTGTTCACGCCAAGAATGAACCTACCCATGAAGTCTCACTGAGCCTGGAGCCCTAAGCTGTTCTTTGTAACCTACAAAGAAGCGTTCGCCCAAAGTGAGAATGGCGGGATGGGGAAAGTGACCCCGTATGTGCTCCTGGGGGCACTGTGGGGGGTGGCCCAGATGCCTTCTCTTGTTGAATCTTCACAGCAGGCCTCCCTCTGCAGCTGAGCACACGAAGGCCCAGGAGGCTGGAGGAACTTCCCAAGCACCCCTAGCCAGCGGGTCGGCGGGTCCTGGGGGCGCTCTCGACTCTCCCGGGCATGCCGTTTTCCTGTGGCCATATGCACTAACAGAGTGGCAGTGTCCTCTCTGCTCCCAGGATGTGAAACAGGCAGAAGAATAAGGAGTCGCCTCTCTGCACATCTCTCCCTGTCTGCTAGAATGTTCCTCATGAACGCCCCTCCTGTGGTCGCTCTCCAGTCGAAATGGGAGGCCTTTGGCCCACCAGGGAGCTTTAGGTTTCCTGGGTGCTTCTCAGAGCCAAAAGAGGGTGTCTCGAGAGCTTCCGTGAGTGCCAAGGTGCAGATGGTCATCAGCACGCTTCAGAGCGACAAGGCTGCTATGGGCATGAGCTGTGATCGTGCTCTGCAGAGAAGCCAAAGGGCAGACAGAGCCCGCGACGCCGCAGTCTCAGCCTGTGGTCCTGCCCCTGACTTCGACACCCCGGGGGACAAAGAAGCTGCAGGCTTTCGCCCCTTGGTGCTGGATTCGGACAGTGACGATTCCGTGGACCGGGACATTGAAGAAGCGATTCAAGAGTATCTGAAGGCCAAGGGTGGAACTGCCCAGCCGGCTGGGGCCACAGGCAGGGACAGCCGGGGCGGATTAGGGGCTCCACAGAGCAGCACCACTTCTGGCCTGTGTCCCCTGAGACCTGCTCCCGGCTCCAGCGCTGTCCCCGGTCGCCGTGCGGGAGCTGCCGCGGACCAGGGCTCCGCTTCCCCAGTCAGTGTGAGCAGTGACGACTCCGTGGACCAGAGCATCCAGGCGGAAATAGAGCAGTTCCTGAATGAGAAGAGACAACAGGAGACCCCCAAGTGTGAAGTCTCTGCAGATAGAGAACCAGACCCCAGCAACAACTTGGCCAAATCGGCGCTTAGATCCAGCAAAGAGCCAGCCATCAAGGCACATCGGCAGGATTTGCCAGGGGCCTGCAAGGAGTTTGTCTTCCGGAAACCTCCCAGGTTGGTAAAGGCCAACACCCAGCCCAGAGGCCTCCGGTCTAAGGTTGCCACCGAACCGAAGAGCTTGGGCAGCACGAAGCCAGCCTCCACCTGCCGTCCTGCAGAAGTTGCCCAGAATAAAGGTGGAATCAAGAGGAACATCGGCCCCGGGAGGAGGGCAAAGCGAGTCAAGAGCACGGCCCTGGGACACGAGGCGTCTGACTCCAGCAGCGATGACGGCATTGAGGAGGCCATCCAGCTATACCAGCTGGAGAAGAGAAGGGAGGCAAGCGGGGACCCTGCACAGAAAACCCTGCCCGGGGAGAGAGGGCCTGACTCCCCTGCGCACAGCACAAGCCACTCCGCAAAAAGTGCCTGGCCCGAAGCCCACGGGAAAACGCCAAACAAGAAGAAGCCAGTGGCCATGAAGGCCATGGACCTCGGCCTCGGTGGCCTTGACCCTGACCATCCCTCCAAGCCACCCAAGGAAACCAAAGCTTCTGCCCCTCCAGGAAATGCAGCTGCCAAAAGCGAGCCTGTGGAACGGGCCTCACGCCAGGCAGACACTTCTGCCGAGCTGATGTGCGCGGAAGCAATCCTGGACATTTCCAAGGCGATCCTGCCGGCCCCCGAGGAGGGCAGTGACAGACCCCTGTCCACTGGCCCGCTCTTTTATCCCGCAAACGTGCCTTCCCGCTCTGATGGTGACAGCAGTTCCGTGGACAGCGATGACAGCATAGAGCAGGAAATCCGGACATTCCTGGCTCTGAAGGCACAGTCAGGGAGTTTGCTGTCCAGAACAGAGACCTGCCTGCCTTCTGCCCAGAGCCCACAGCTGTCGCCTAACCCCAGCAGCCCTGCTGGTGGCCTCAAGGCTCCTGTCTCTAAAACCCTGGATCTATCGCTGAGCTGCAGGAGGAAACGCAGTGGAGGTGGCCACCCTGTACAGCCGTCCACACCCAAGAAAACAAGACAGGTGGCAAAGGATGGTGCCCGGGATGCTGAGCACAGCCAGGCGAAAGTGCACCCTGGCCAGGGAAAAGCCAGCGAGCCCTCCCCAAGGGAGGGCGAGATCAGAGGCCAGCCTCTCCCCTGCAGGACGGCCAGGCTAGGTGATGAGCTCAGCGCCCCGGACACGAGGGATGGTGTGTCCCCAGGCCCCGGGAAGGCAGCAGAGTTGAGGAGCATCGACGAGAGCTCTGACGACAAGAGCAGCTCATTGGACAGCGACGAGGACCTGGACACCGCCATCAAGGACCTGTTGCGATCCAAGCGACAGCTCAAGAGGTTTCAGGAACCCAGAGCCGTGTGCAGGAAGAAGGTCCGGTTCAGCACCACCGAAACACAGTTCTTGGATAAGCCTGGCGGCCTCCAGAAAGACTGGAAAGACAGAAGCCCACATTTGTTGAAAAGCTGCCTCTCCAAGTCCAAGAAAGACAGCAGGGAGAACACGGTGAAAAAGCCTCTGAGCACGTTCTGCAGAGAGGCGGAGAGAGCAAAGCCAGACGGCAGGCCCCGGGCTGTGCCCCCGGCCCTCTGCCCGTGGAGCAGAGCCTTGGAAGGGAGCTTGCTCCCCAGTGAACTGGACGCCCATGACCTCGAAGGTGCCGCCCCAAACCCCAGATCCCCGTCCGAGGACAGCAGCTCTGTGGACAGCGATGACAGCATCGAACTGGAGATCAGGAAGTTTTTAGCTGAGAAGGCCAAAGAGTCTGTGAACAGTTCAGAAATTCCAGGAGGGTGCCCCACCACTCTTGGGGCAGGGAGCGCACCCAGGCCAGAGCTGCCAGGGCGGAAGATGCCATCCCCCGCCCTGGCCCTCCAGCCCGGCGTGTGTACTCGGAGCCACTGTGGACGGGGCACTACTCAGCTGCCAGGTGAAGGTCTGAGAGGCACAGGGAGAGCCCTTGTCCCTGGCGGGGGCCCTGAGAAAAACAGCCCCTGCATCGAGCAGGCCTGCATCCCTGCCGCTCTGGCCAGATGGGAGCTGGCACCCCCCAGAAGTGGCACTGCCTCTGCCAGAGGGTCGCCAGCGGGGAGGAGAAGTGTCTGTACTCCCAAAGACCAGAGCCCCCGGCAGGCAGAGCCTGCTGCTGGGGAGCATGGTTTGGGTCTGCGTCCCAGCTGCACTCATGCCAGCACCCTGCCTGTGAGTGCCCAGGGCCAGAGCCCTCAGACTCGGATCCCGGGACCAGACAGGCAGGGAACACCCCAGGCCGGCCTGGCCCTCCCGTGGGCTGACTTCGCCCACCAGGGTTGGCTGCAGAGCCCGTGGGCACCGAGTGCAGACAGTGGGGATGTGGGATGGAAAGGAGGCCTCAGCAATGAGAGGGAGAAGAGGCCGGAGGAGGGCCAGGCCCGGTGCTCGCCCGGCCTGGCCACAGACTCCAGGAAAGGCCTGCCCTTCACAGGCTTCTCCTCACTGCTGTCCACACAGCTGTTCCACTTTGGAAAGAGCGTCTCCTGGGGGGGCAGGCAGGCTGGCCTCTTCAGTGGCCCCCTAAGTCTGCCTCTGCAAGGCCCATCTTTTGCGGCCTTCGGGGAGAGCCCAGCCAGCCACGGGCCAGTGTTCGGAAGCTCACACCTGCTCACCAAGGAGGGTGGCCACTGGCCAAGCCGCAAGCTGCAGGCAGCACACAGTTTGCACAACAGGGGCCGCCCAGGCCCCGAGGAAAGCATTTTAGACCTGCGGTATAGACCAAGGTCAGTGGACAGAGATGAGCAGGACCAAGAGGCCTTGGGCAGTGGTGCCAGCGAGCTCAGCGACACATCCGTGGAGGAGGGTGGCAGCAGCCCCTCGGCCAAGGGCAGGGCCCTCAAGCTGTGAGTCGCACCCACATCCTTGTGGGGAGCACATGTGCGTGCGTGTGTCTGCGTGTGTAGGTAATGTCCATGACCAAGGGAGGAAGTGGGAAGCCACTCTGCATAGCCCTGCACATACGTGCCCCAGCGTGAATGCCCTTGTTGCTTAACAGACGTGTCCTGGTAAATATGATTTTTGTAGCTTTTTTGTAAATTATTTAAAGTGTTGTAAAGGATATTTTTGGAAAATGTAGTTGTCAGGTTTGTAAGGGCATTCCTAGCTGCAGGTGTCTGTGGTCCCCGACTAGTCTAGATTAGCCAACACTTTAGGGGACCACCACAGCCAGGGGACCGTGATAGCCCAGGGCCTGCCGGTGGACTGCTGGGAGGCGGCAACTGATGCCTCCACCGAGGATCCTGAAAAAAATGCCCACAGTCCCCGCGGGGAAGCTCCTAGTTAGCACTTGCTACGTGAAGGGCCCCGGTCCCAGGAGGCCAGAGCATGTCTTCTGAACACTACAGTCTCACCTCCAATGGGAAAACCACTTCAAAGCACAAAGGCCCATGAGCAAGTTGAGGTGCGTGGAGAAACCCCCGCGAGGTGTCAGCAGCAGGTCCCTTGGTTCCCGCCTGAGCCTGCGTCGTGCAATGTCCAGTCTGTTTGGTCCTAACAGTTCAATAAACCTCTTTTTATATGGGAGCTGCTGTTCATTTTTGGTCATGGTTGTGAAGGGTAACAGACAGCTTGTGCATTCTGCATGTCTTTTCCTCGATCTGTGCCAGAGAGGAAGCCCTGTCAGAGCAGCTTTATGGGTTTTGGTGCGTGGGCACCTTGGCAACCAGCCACAACACCAGCTCCCTCCAGGGCATGGTGCCTAGTCCAGGGTGTGCTCACGCAGCTGAGCAGATGTTTCTGACACCTGAGGCCTGCCTGTCTGAGGGGGTGAGGACTGTACCCTGCACCGTGGCGCACTCGCAGGCAGGCCCCGGCCTCTGCCAGCACTCACTGTGTGTTTGAGCCTAGCCTGGTGGAACAGGGAAGAACGTGGCACCCTGGGCCTCCTACTTAAGGCTGCTGTAGAGATGGGAGGGCAGCTGTGTCACGTGGGGCTGGGCACTGACTGGTCACATCATGTACGTGCTCTTGTCTGGCACACTGGCGTCGGCTGCCCCAGGTTTCACAACTCACCCCTGGGATTCAGCTGGGATGGACCTGACGCTTACTTTGCAGCAGAATTGAGTAGGTGTTCCAAGATGCAAGGGAACTGTCCACACACAGCCCCAACCTGGGTTTTAGCAGCGATTCATCTCTGCACCCGAACACGGACATTCACTGGCACCCCCAGTCCAGACCTGTCGCGCAGATGCTGTGACGAGGGCCCTGTGGACGCGAGGCTGCTGGGCACCTGTATGGTGTGCATGTGGTGGGTCCACTGTCAAAACATTCACTTAAGTGCTTCCAGGACAACAATTCATGTAATCTATACTTCAAATTTTATTTAATTTTTAGGAGTGCTTTTAACACTCAAAAAAAATTTCTCTTTTTTTGTATAGAAGAGCCTTTTTAATGCTAATAAATCAGTGCTGCTTGTGAATCCGTTTGTCCTCTGCAGGGTGACTGTGCGGGCTGTTGTCATGAGGCCCCCACCCTCAGTGAGTGTGCTTAGCTCCAAGCACCTCTCTGCTGCTGGCCATCCCTGGCTCCCCCAGACCTGGGACCCTTCACACCTTCCTCCCTTCCTGCCTCCAAGCCCCTGCAGCCTCTGCAACACTGCGTTCTGTGTGGCTACTGGGCAGTGCAGACCACAGCCATTTACACATGCTTTGTTTGCACAGACTGGACATAAACCTGATCATGCCAGCCCGTCCCTGGGGCTGCCGACAGACCACGCCAGGAACGCTTTTGCATCCACACGCACACCCTAGGTGGATTCTGGCGCATGCAAGGGCACAGGTCAGAGGGTCCCCGCAGCCTGTCCGGATTGGAGTGAGGCAGGAAAATGGTCAAGGAGGCACCTGGCTGTGTGTCAAAGCTCCGCAGAACCTCCACGGCCCTGGGCCTGACCACGCAGCCACATCTGGCAGAATCTGGGAGCTGCTGCGTGAGATGCAGAGTGTGCACTGCCTGTGCAGGGCGGGGGCACGTGTTACCAGGTCAAGCTGCAGCCACCCAGACCTGCAGACCAGTCCGGCAAGCTGCTCTCTCACTTCCTGGGCAACCATCCGTGCCTGGGACCAGGTATTCATTTCATCTAATGCAGAGAAGGGGAGAGGCCTGATTTTAAGTGTCCAGCGCTCCAGGCTGTGTCACGGTGGTGTAACTGTCTGCAGGAACTACCCCCTTTCCTGGAAAAAATGGGCACATTTCAGAAATCCCAGTCGGGATAGGAATGGGGGCTGGAGAAACAAAGCCCTAGGGGTAGGGGCTGCTGTTCCCAGGAGGGAGGAGAGGGTCTTCCTCTGGAGAATCTGCTCTTACTCCACGCTGCTCAGAATCTGAATAGTCAGCAAGTTCCCCCAAGCTGATGTATACTCGCGTTGGGCCATGAGGCCCCAAATTTAAATACCAGCACTTATCTGCTTATGTAAAAATATGAACAGTATTGCCGCTTTGATCTCCCCCCCCCCCAGATTCACGTAAGGGCTTGTTTAGAGGGGGGAAAACAGCACAGATTCCACCATCCACATCTGTAAACCACAGCCAGGTCCGTACCAGGCAAGGCTGCTGGGGTCCAGGGGTTGGGGTGGGGGGTGGGGGGTGCGGGAACAGTACCTTACTTGTAGAATCTTTGAGGCTTCTGGTATTTGTGTGCTGGACATAGAGGTCTTTTTCCCAAAGTCAATCATATGTTCATATGTATTTGAAACCATTTGTTCTAATTGACTCTAGTTAAAAGATAAAATGGGTGACTAAAGAAATACATAAATATAAATTAAAACACACGGTTAGAGTAAGAAGTTAATGGTTTTAGCCCAAACTGGCAGCTCAGTTAAGTGACTGGTAAAGTGTTATGAGAACTTATTTCTCACTGTTTCCTCTCAGAGTGGAATAAAAAGGCCCAATCAAGTCCAGATCCGCCCGTGGGGGAGGAGGGGTCTCTAGGAACCCCCAGCACCCGGAAGGGTGGCGGGAGCTGGCTTGGCTGCCCTCAGTGTTCCCATCCCCACCCCCTTTTCTGGAATTGCCCTGACTGGATCTAAGATTCGAAAGAACCCCATCCGGAGGTCGGGGGACTGAGAGAGATGCATCTTCCTTTTGTCAGCCATCAACCACGCAAAACACACATCCTCACAGCGTTTGTCAGTCCCGTCCGTCTGGACTCTGCTTTTCCCCTCAACACATAAACATTCCAGTGTGAAAATATGTTTGAAAGTTCACGAAAGGTACCATCACTGGTGTTCTTGTACGACTCGTATGGAGAGCTAGGGGCCAGGTCTGTGGGGTCAGGTGCCCATGACCGCATCCCTCCCAGGTCCCGCCCAGAGCAGGTTCAAGCCCAGGGCCTGCGGCACACCTCGTTCGGACCCTGGTTTTTCCATCTGAAAATGAAGGTACAGAAGGAAGACTTGGCCCAGTGTGAGTGCCAGACGGGGTGATGACATCCAAGTCCCCGAGACAGCAAACCAGTGGAGAGGGACCTGGGCACCGGCACGTGGGTATTAGGGCCTAAGCTGGAGACACTGAGTTTTCCAGAGGACGGGTGTGTGTGTCCTCTCAAAGGCGTTTGTTTTCCATCTTTCCAGACATTTGTTCTTTGAATGAAGCGCAGAGTCTAACTTAATGCTAAGTTGTTCTCCTTAGACTGAATGCACAGAGTCAAGCTTTACGTGTACTCCGTAGCTGCTGTTGCACAAATGGCAGTGTCCTGGCTGGGACCCACTACACCCCCAGGGCCCAATCACAGGCCTTTAGCGCTGGAAGCCCGTGGGCAAGCTCGCGTCTCTTTTTCAGCATCAGCTCAGCCGATGCTCAGCCTGAGCCCTGATGCGGCCTTTGGCTGAGATCTGAGGACTCGGTCCGAGTGAGGTGGCCTCACATGTGTTTGGCTTGGATGAAGCTGTCCTGCTACGTGACTCACCAGCTCTAAGCTGGGAGAAAAAAGTTATTTTGCCCAATGGCTTTTTTTCTCCCCTGGAGTTCCGTGCTTTGCGTAGCCGGCTGCCAGGCAGGAAAGGGTTTCATTCTTCCGGTGGGCTTAGAAACTTGGTTGATATGCATTTTTCCTTTTTTTCTTTCAACAGAGGCTAAACACAGAAGTGTTCTCAGTATTTTGATATTTTTAATGAAGGGTTGTAAGAACTAACTCAGTGTGATGCCTGGAGTGGCCACTGGTTTTCCAGCGAAAGGACATGACAGACATCCTGGCTTCAGGCTCAGCTTGGTATCTTTTCATTACGTTTACTGATTTTCCTCTGGAAACAGTTTCCATTCCAAATTGGACACTAAGAATGTTGCCAAAAAGTTTACTTTGGTGTATTAATAATAAAAAGTTTTTAATGAAGAAATGGCCAGTTATAGTGTTTAATTTCTTCCCAATTCTTATGTAAGTAAAATCTCTTTGGGTAAAAATCTCTGTAGACAAGATGTTACCAGTGGCAGGTAATGGTTTCTCCTGCCCAGCTTCATTTCTTCCTAGATTCCCTCTAACGGGCACGTCTGCTCTTATGAACTGAGGGAGGGAAATCTGTCCTGAACAGACACACCATCACACAGAATGTCTCTCTTATTCAGGACCCTCTAGGTCACAGTCAATGGTGGTCGGGGACCAACCACATAGAGATAAAAACCCACTTCACGCAGGTCTTACCCACACCTAAGAAAAATATGTCCTGCCATGGCCTTTTTTTTTTTAACCTTTTTATTGAACATTGTAAGTGAACACCAAGTAGAGAACTCCCGGGTACAAATCATTCCCTTGCCAACCTTGCTTCAATATTTTTTTTTTTAATCTAGAGAGGAAAACATTTTCAGATAGAGCCGTGAGGTCTCTGCCTTTACAACTGGGCACATTCCCGAGGACAAAGGGCGACAGCAGCTCCCGCTCCGCTGGGTGGGTCGGCTGCTGGAGTCAGGATACCCTGGAGGGCCTCAGTCGCAGATGGACGGCTTGTGGACATTGTAACTGGGGTGGAAGTCACGTCGGTCATAGCGGGTGATGTAGTTGTCGGGACCTGTCACCATGCTCTTCTCCACGTGGACGTTGAAAGTATTGTTCTGGAACATTCCTCCAGCTGCGAGTTGTCTGGAAAATTTACTCGAATTTGGATAGAATACCTTCTGGAAGTGAAAAGGGAATGCTAGGGTTAATGACGCATAACAACACTCTTGAGCAATCAGTCCTTAGGTATTTTGGAAAGAAAAAGAATAATTTGTAAGCAAGTGTCCCTGTTCCTAAGCGGCAGAGAGGCTGAAGTGGGCAGGGTGGCCTAGTCTGTCCCAGATCATCCCGATGCACGCCTGATGTCCCGGAGAAACTAATAATGGTGCCTCCTTTCACGATTACATGGCTACCAGAAGGATCGATTATGGGGCCACCTGGGCGAGGCATTTCCACACCTGGGTGTGGTCACAAGCATTACCTTGGGGGTCAGACCCCAAGCGGCCCTACTTCTACTTTTACCAACTGCACCACTAAGGCAAGTTACTGGGCCTCTCTGACCTTCAGTCTTCTCTTCTGTAGAAGAGAGACAACATGTACAACAGTGGGCTTCAACCTGGGCTGTGTGTTGGAATCTCTTGTACAGCTTTAAAAAGATTCCAGTGCCCACACTGCGGCAGGCGAGAGGTCTAGGAGGAGCTGCCCTAGCAACTGGGGTGGCGGTGCTGAGGAACAGTGAGGCACCCAGGGGTGGCAGTTGCTCCAGCCACACAGCTCAGCAGGTGACCTTGAGGTTTCTGACGTAAGTGGCCAGGACCCCTGCCAGGTGTGTTCCACTGGATGACGGCCATTCTGCAGCAGTGTGTCAAGCGGCTCACCGGATGTTGTCTCCTCGGCAGGAAGCAAGCGCAAAGAGAAATGGCTTTGGTGCATTACTTTTTTAATAGACTTTATTTTTAGGGCAACTTTAGGTCTACAGGAAACTGAGCAGGGTGGATGGAGCTCCCACGTGGCCGCACCTTGCCTCACACCTGCAGCTTCCCCTGCTGGCCACACCTTGGGTTCTGGTGGGTGGCTATGCTACCTCTGGGCCAACACTGATGACTTAGCATCAGTGGAGCCCACAGACACTCAGGGTCACTTTTTGTGTCATCAAGTTCCATGGGTTTCACAAATCCTTATGCAAAGAAAGCATTTTTATTTTCTGTTCCCACCTGGGAAGTAAGCAGCACCGAGAGCTGCTCCCTGGATCCAGTCCACACTCACGTCAAGAATCAGAAAAACGGGCTGCAGACAGAGCAGGTGGGTAAGTGGCGTGAAAAACCTCCTGTCCTCTCGCCTTGACAGTAGCCTGGGGCTTCGCGTCCCACAGCCCAGCCACGAGCTTACAGGATGTACATTTGCACCTGTCAGTGTGTTCATCTTTTTCATGGAAATACCTGATCCCTGGGGAAAACCTGAAATTACTGGATTCTGGGAAAGTGACTGTCAAATGCTCTAGAAACTTTCTAAACAAGTAATCTCCTAGGAGCTCTATGCCCCCTGCAAAACGCAGTTCAGCAGTCATCCAGATCTTTTCAAATGATGAATATTTTGGAAGAAAAACCAACATTGTCATCCCAAATGGGTGGCCCTACTGTCCTGCTTTCCAGTGGATGCTTATGCTGGTACATCTGGCCCTTCCACCTGGACCCAGCAGGGGCGGTGTGGGTTCTAGGAGGCCCCATGGAATGAGGTCAATCTCCAAATGGGGTTGGGGTTCCCCAAAGGCACAGATCCCCCAGTCCACCAACATCCCTCGTCCTCCTGCAACCTAGGCTTCTGGCCGGTATTTCCTCTTAAGGCCATAAGTAACTACCTTATAAAACAGAGTATTATTCCAGAAAGCAAGCAGTTCTTCATTTATTTGCCTCAAAACCTCCTGCCTTAAGTTGCAAGAGTCGGTGTGTGTGTGTGAGTGGGTCCCCTCCTTGAAGGCATCTTGGACAAGCATATGTGGACTTTCTTCATCCTCTACACATCTCATTGCTAAGTTCAGTCGTGTGTGTGTTTCTACCCTCCCTGTTCCCAAAGGATGTGAGGTGCCCCCTCACACTGTGTGATACTGGAGCTTTGCGCCCCCTCACGTGTGGCCCTTTTGGGGAGCCTGGGGGTTGGCTCCTCCTGCAGACGCCCACCGGCACACACCCTTCCTCGCTCCCCACTTACCGGCATCTCATGAACACTGGGGGCTCTGCTCCCGTAAGCTTGGTTACTGGTCCTGTACACTGAGGCGGGCTCCTTGGTCCTGGGAGATGAGAAACACGCTCTAGTTTCCATTCATTTATTCTAATTCTGCCCAAATCACAGCTGTTTACTATTTGATGGAGATTGGCTGGAAATGCCCCAGGTTGGCAATGCAGCCATGAAGGTGGGCTCCTGTGGACGGCAGGGTTGACATTCCTGGTAGGCTCAGCCCCCTGACCTCTCTGCTCAGTTCTGTATTTCCCAAGGCAGGCCAAAGCCCCAAGTAACTCCCAGGTGGCAAGTGTTGGCCCTCGGGTAGCTGGGTGGGTCAGGAGCGCAGCCTCCAGACACTGTCACCCGGAGAGGGGTCCCTCCACTTCTGAGTCTCCAGGAGAGAACACACCTGCAGTCTCCACTATGGTCACTGGTTGAACTGGGTGGGCTGTGGGTTCAGACTGCCCATCTCTGCCTCACGTTAACCAGATGTCAGGCAGGGATAACACCTTCTACAACCCTGTCTCTCCTGAAGTGGGGGTGCGGGAACAGTACCTTACTTGTAGAATCTTTGAGGCTTCTGGTATTTGTGTGCTGGACATAGAGGTCTTTTTCCCAAAGTCAATCATATGTTCATATGTATTTGAAACCATTTGTTCTAATTGACTCTAGTTAAAAGATAAAATGGGTGACTAAAGAAATACATAAATATAAATTAAAACACACGGTTAGAGTAAGAAGTTAATGGTTTTAGCCCAAACTGGCAGCTCAGTTAAGTGACTGGTAAAGTGTTATGAGAACTTATTTCTCACTGTTTCCTCTCAGAGTGGAATAAAAAGGCCCAATCAAGTCCAGATCCGCCCGTGGGGGAGGAGGGGTCTCTAGGAACCCCCAGCACCCGGAAGGGTGGCGGGAGCTGGCTTGGCTGCCCTCAGTGTTCCCATCCCCACCCCCTTTTCTGGAATTGCCCTGACTGGATCTAAGATTCGAAAGAACCCCATCCGGAGGTCGGGGGACTGAGAGAGATGCATCTTCCTTTTGTCAGCCATCAACCACGCAAAACACACATCCTCACAGCGTTTGTCAGTCCCGTCCGTCTGGACTCTGCTTTTCCCCTCAACACATAAACATTCCAGTGTGAAAATATGTTTGAAAGTTCACGAAAGGTACCATCACTGGTGTTCTTGTACGACTCGTATGGAGAGCTAGGGGCCAGGTCTGTGGGGTCAGGTGCCCATGACCGCATCCCTCCCAGGTCCCGCCCAGAGCAGGTTCAAGCCCAGGGCCTGCGGCACACCTCGTTCGGACCCTGGTTTTTCCATCTGAAAATGAAGGTACAGAAGGAAGACTTGGCCCAGTGTGAGTGCCAGACGGGGTGATGACATCCAAGTCCCCGAGACAGCAAACCAGTGGAGAGGGACCTGGGCACCGGCACGTGGGTATTAGGGCCTAAGCTGGAGACACTGAGTTTTCCAGAGGACGGGTGTGTGTGTCCTCTCAAAGGCGTTTGTTTTCCATCTTTCCAGACATTTGTTCTTTGAATGAAGCGCAGAGTCTAACTTAATGCTAAGTTGTTCTCCTTAGACTGAATGCACAGAGTCAAGCTTTACGTGTACTCCGTAGCTGCTGTTGCACAAATGGCAGTGTCCTGGCTGGGACCCACTACACCCCCAGGGCCCAATCACAGGCCTTTAGCGCTGGAAGCCCGTGGGCAAGCTCGCGTCTCTTTTTCAGCATCAGCTCAGCCGATGCTCAGCCTGAGCCCTGATGCGGCCTTTGGCTGAGATCTGAGGACTCGGTCCGAGTGAGGTGGCCTCACATGTGTTTGGCTTGGATGAAGCTGTCCTGCTACGTGACTCACCAGCTCTAAGCTGGGAGAAAAAAGTTATTTTGCCCAATGGCTTTTTTTCTCCCCTGGAGTTCCGTGCTTTGCGTAGCCGGCTGCCAGGCAGGAAAGGGTTTCATTCTTCCGGTGGGCTTAGAAACTTGGTTGATATGCATTTTTCCTTTTTTTCTTTCAACAGAGGCTAAACACAGAAGTGTTCTCAGTATTTTGATATTTTTAATGAAGGGTTGTAAGAACTAACTCAGTGTGATGCCTGGAGTGGCCACTGGTTTTCCAGCGAAAGGACATGACAGACATCCTGGCTTCAGGCTCAGCTTGGTATCTTTTCATTACGTTTACTGATTTTCCTCTGGAAACAGTTTCCATTCCAAATTGGACACTAAGAATGTTGCCAAAAAGTTTACTTTGGTGTATTAATAATAAAAAGTTTTTAATGAAGAAATGGCCAGTTATAGTGTTTAATTTCTTCCCAATTCTTATGTAAGTAAAATCTCTTTGGGTAAAAATCTCTGTAGACAAGATGTTACCAGTGGCAGGTAATGGTTTCTCCTGCCCAGCTTCATTTCTTCCTAGATTCCCTCTAACGGGCACGTCTGCTCTTATGAACTGAGGGAGGGAAATCTGTCCTGAACAGACACACCATCACACAGAATGTCTCTCTTATTCAGGACCCTCTAGGTCACAGTCAATGGTGGTCGGGGACCAACCACATAGAGATAAAAACCCACTTCACGCAGGTCTTACCCACACCTAAGAAAAATATGTCCTGCCATGGCCTTTTTTTTTTTAACCTTTTTATTGAACATTGTAAGTGAACACCAAGTAGAGAACTCCCGGGTACAAATCATTCCCTTGCCAACCTTGCTTCAATATTTTTTTTTTTAATCTAGAGAGGAAAACATTTTCAGATAGAGCCGTGAGGTCTCTGCCTTTACAACTGGGCACATTCCCGAGGACAAAGGGCGACAGCAGCTCCCGCTCCGCTGGGTGGGTCGGCTGCTGGAGTCAGGATACCCTGGAGGGCCTCAGTCGCAGATGGACGGCTTGTGGACATTGTAACTGGGGTGGAAGTCACGTCGGTCATAGCGGGTGATGTAGTTGTCGGGACCTGTCACCATGCTCTTCTCCACGTGGACGTTGAAAGTATTGTTCTGGAACATTCCTCCAGCTGCGAGTTGTCTGGAAAATTTACTCGAATTTGGATAGAATACCTTCTGGAAGTGAAAAGGGAATGCTAGGGTTAATGACGCATAACAACACTCTTGAGCAATCAGTCCTTAGGTATTTTGGAAAGAAAAAGAATAATTTGTAAGCAAGTGTCCCTGTTCCTAAGCGGCAGAGAGGCTGAAGTGGGCAGGGTGGCCTAGTCTGTCCCAGATCATCCCGATGCACGCCTGATGTCCCGGAGAAACTAATAATGGTGCCTCCTTTCACGATTACATGGCTACCAGAAGGATCGATTATGGGGCCACCTGGGCGAGGCATTTCCACACCTGGGTGTGGTCACAAGCATTACCTTGGGGGTCAGACCCCAAGCGGCCCTACTTCTACTTTTACCAACTGCACCACTAAGGCAAGTTACTGGGCCTCTCTGACCTTCAGTCTTCTCTTCTGTAGAAGAGAGACAACATGTACAACAGTGGGCTTCAACCTGGGCTGTGTGTTGGAATCTCTTGTACAGCTTTAAAAAGATTCCAGTGCCCACACTGCGGCAGGCGAGAGGTCTAGGAGGAGCTGCCCTAGCAACTGGGGTGGCGGTGCTGAGGAACAGTGAGGCACCCAGGGGTGGCAGTTGCTCCAGCCACACAGCTCAGCAGGTGACCTTGAGGTTTCTGACGTAAGTGGCCAGGACCCCTGCCAGGTGTGTTCCACTGGATGACGGCCATTCTGCAGCAGTGTGTCAAGCGGCTCACCGGATGTTGTCTCCTCGGCAGGAAGCAAGCGCAAAGAGAAATGGCTTTGGTGCATTACTTTTTTAATAGACTTTATTTTTAGGGCAACTTTAGGTCTACAGGAAACTGAGCAGGGTGGATGGAGCTCCCACGTGGCCGCACCTTGCCTCACACCTGCAGCTTCCCCTGCTGGCCACACCTTGGGTTCTGGTGGGTGGCTATGCTACCTCTGGGCCAACACTGATGACTTAGCATCAGTGGAGCCCACAGACACTCAGGGTCACTTTTTGTGTCATCAAGTTCCATGGGTTTCACAAATCCTTATGCAAAGAAAGCATTTTTATTTTCTGTTCCCACCTGGGAAGTAAGCAGCACCGAGAGCTGCTCCCTGGATCCAGTCCACACTCACGTCAAGAATCAGAAAAACGGGCTGCAGACAGAGCAGGTGGGTAAGTGGCGTGAAAAACCTCCTGTCCTCTCGCCTTGACAGTAGCCTGGGGCTTCGCGTCCCACAGCCCAGCCACGAGCTTACAGGATGTACATTTGCACCTGTCAGTGTGTTCATCTTTTTCATGGAAATACCTGATCCCTGGGGAAAACCTGAAATTACTGGATTCTGGGAAAGTGACTGTCAAATGCTCTAGAAACTTTCTAAACAAGTAATCTCCTAGGAGCTCTATGCCCCCTGCAAAACGCAGTTCAGCAGTCATCCAGATCTTTTCAAATGATGAATATTTTGGAAGAAAAACCAACATTGTCATCCCAAATGGGTGGCCCTACTGTCCTGCTTTCCAGTGGATGCTTATGCTGGTACATCTGGCCCTTCCACCTGGACCCAGCAGGGGCGGTGTGGGTTCTAGGAGGCCCCATGGAATGAGGTCAATCTCCAAATGGGGTTGGGGTTCCCCAAAGGCACAGATCCCCCAGTCCACCAACATCCCTCGTCCTCCTGCAACCTAGGCTTCTGGCCGGTATTTCCTCTTAAGGCCATAAGTAACTACCTTATAAAACAGAGTATTATTCCAGAAAGCAAGCAGTTCTTCATTTATTTGCCTCAAAACCTCCTGCCTTAAGTTGCAAGAGTCGGTGTGTGTGTGTGAGTGGGTCCCCTCCTTGAAGGCATCTTGGACAAGCATATGTGGACTTTCTTCATCCTCTACACATCTCATTGCTAAGTTCAGTCGTGTGTGTGTTTCTACCCTCCCTGTTCCCAAAGGATGTGAGGTGCCCCCTCACACTGTGTGATACTGGAGCTTTGCGCCCCCTCACGTGTGGCCCTTTTGGGGAGCCTGGGGGTTGGCTCCTCCTGCAGACGCCCACCGGCACACACCCTTCCTCGCTCCCCACTTACCGGCATCTCATGAACACTGGGGGCTCTGCTCCCGTAAGCTTGGTTACTGGTCCTGTACACTGAGGCGGGCTCCTTGGTCCTGGGAGATGAGAAACACGCTCTAGTTTCCATTCATTTATTCTAATTCTGCCCAAATCACAGCTGTTTACTATTTGATGGAGATTGGCTGGAAATGCCCCAGGTTGGCAATGCAGCCATGAAGGTGGGCTCCTGTGGACGGCAGGGTTGACATTCCTGGTAGGCTCAGCCCCCTGACCTCTCTGCTCAGTTCTGTATTTCCCAAGGCAGGCCAAAGCCCCAAGTAACTCCCAGGTGGCAAGTGTTGGCCCTCGGGTAGCTGGGTGGGTCAGGAGCGCAGCCTCCAGACGCTGTCACCCGGAGAGGGGTCCCTCCACTTCTGAGTCTCCAGGAGAGAACACACCTGCAGTCTCCACTATGGTCACTGGTTGAACTGGGTGGGCTGTGGGTTCAGACTGCCCATCTCTGCCTCACGTTAACCAGATGTCAGGCAGGGATAACACCTTCTACAACCCTGTCTCTCCTGAAGAAGGAGCCTAATAATAGACCCTGCTCTACAGGGTTGTAGGCAGGACCAGGTGAGGAGGGTAGGGAGGTCCTCACCCCTGCCTGGCTGTGGTTAAGGATTTCCTAGCATGCCCTGGGGGTTGCACTGCACCCTAACAGCTCCAGGTCGCTGACTCGGCAGCATGGTGATGGGAGTGTGGCAGATTCATTTTGCCCAGGGCGTCCTCTTGGCTGTAGCGAGCTGAGGCTTACTCAGCAGGAGAGACGGAGCTGGCACCAGAACCGGGCTTGGGGACTTCCCCGGGGCACCCCTGTTCCTGTGCTGACTGGAGGCCCACTCGTTTGTGCCTCGAGAGCTTTAAGCTGTGCTTTCGCTACCCACTCAGTGGCTCACAGCTGCCGGTGCTTTCGCCTTAGTTAGCCGGGCAGGCTGGGGGCCGGGCGCTCGCGGCCAGGACTGGGCAGAGCGCAGGACCAAGGGGGCACCTGGCTGCCCACAGCACCAGGTGGCCACTCGCCCCTGCGCAAGTCAGGTGTGCCGGGACCGGATCCCACCGTCCTCACCTATAGCCCCGAAACCACGCCGGATTGTTGAACCGGACGGGCAGGTCCGCGTCCACGCGGTAGTAGTCGCTGGTTTTCTCCGGGGGATCCCTGGCCGTGGGCTCCGAGCACTCTGGGGGCCTCTGTTCCGACATGTCTCCAGGCCAACTCTGCTGCAAGCCAGAGGAGGGGCCTCGGCGGCGCGGCGTCCTGTTGCTGGGCGACGGTCGGGTCACCTGACGGGAGGTCCGGGTCCACCCTTAAAGGAGCCGCGCCTTGCGGGCCAGCAGTGCGGGCCGCTGGGCTGCCGAGAGAGGTCTGGAACCTTTGGGCCGAGGAAGCAGGCCTGCGCTGGCCAGGGCCTAGGGGTCACTTCCTGGGCTGTGTGCCGAGGGTAGAGCCGCCTGCACGCTGCGCTCGAAGGTCGCGCGGGGCGCCCCCATCGCTTCCCCAGATGCAGGGAAGCGGATTTCGGGGCCCAAGAAACCGGTTCGCAGACCACATCAGCCGGAGTTGAGTGCCCCAAGGCCGCTCTGCGAACAAAAGCTCTGACACTTGCTGTGGCCCCAGGGGAGCCCCGTGGCCCTGTGACGGCATGCCCCCAGAACCCCGTCCAAACGTGGCCTGGATTTGCCTAAGTTTATGGAATCTTCCTATGTCAGTGTTTCAAAATTAAAACGACTTTGGAGAGCGAGAGGTTTTTGGACCGGCCGGAGGTGAGAACGCCTCGCGCTGCAGGGCGAGCCGCCCGACCCCAGTGCCGGACCGGAGTGGTGGCCAGGCCTCCGGGAGGGAGGGCAGGGTGAGCGGATGAGCTCCTCCAGACCGCATTCGCCCGACCCCCGACCCCCGACCCCCGACCCGGGCTGGCACTCGCTCCTCGGCCCTCGCGCGTCCGCGGCGCCCAGCCTGGTTGGGGGCGGGGTGGGGGGAGGCGGGGCACCGAGGTCAGACTCGGGGGCGCGCCGGACCTGGGCGGGGTCCGGGAGCTCGGCGGCGGGGAGCGCAGTGGCCCCTCCGCGCCTGCAGGCGGCGCTGCGGCGAGGAGGCGGGCCGGCACGCGGCGGAAGGAAAGGCGCCCGGGCCCGGGATCGGCAGCATCCGGATCCGCACCATGGCGGCCGCCCCAGCCCTGCCGCGGCTTCTTGGCGCTGGTGAGTGCTTGGGACCCGGAGTCGCGGGCTGGGGCGCGGGGCTGGGCCACCCAGGGCTGCGGGGCCGGCCCAGGTGGGCGCCCGGGGGCGCGGGCACCCTCCTCTGCAGGCCTGCGTGGGACCGCGCGCCACGGGGCTGCTCTCTCCGCAGGTGTCTGGCTCCGGCCGCTGCGGCCGCATCTCAGGACCGCGCCCCCAAGGCCGGCCCGGCCGGGCGGCAGGACGCTGGGAAACGCCGCCGTCCCCGCCGTCAGCCCGCCCGAGGGCAGCAGCGGTAACGCCTGCCCCTGGGCAGGCCGGAGGGGGCCGAGGGGGCCGCTCAGGGCCCCGGGTCGGGGAAGGAATCGTCTGCTGCCGGGAGCCCTGAGTGCCCTGAGCTTAGATGTGGAGCCCTGAAGGATTCGGGCCAAGCGGGGATATAAGGGGCGACCTGCAGCCCCCAGGAGCCCCGCGGGCTGGGCCTTAGAGTCATTCCCACCCACTTCTGAGCGGGTGGCTCTCCGCATCTCAGCCAGGCGCCCACATCCGAGAAGGAGCTAAGGCCAGCACGTCCCCCTGGGTGGGCGGGAGGGAGAAGGGGGTCCAGCGGTTAAGGCAGGGCTTGGCTTCTTGGGGTGTATCACTGGACTTCTGAGACACAGAGCCCTCCCCGGACTCTTGGTGGGGAGTGTCCCCTGTTGACTGGGGGGTAGCAGAGCCCCCAAAAGCCGGCCGAGCCCCTCTTCGGAGTGAGGGCTTGGCCAGGTTGACCCAGAAGCAAAGCCATGGTCAGGGCTGGGCTTCACTGCCTCTCCCCCGGAGCCGCTGGGAGTGGGTCTGGCGACCAGGGGTCCTCTCCTCCCCACCCTAGATCTCCACCACAGCATTCTCAGTGAGCCCCTCAAGCACGCTGACTTCTTCAACGTCAAGGAGCTGTTTTCTGTGAGAAGTCTCTTCGATGCGCGGGTGCACCTGGGACACAAAGCCGGCTGCCGGCACAGGTAGCTGACACCCCAGGCTGAGTGTGCCAGTTCCCAGGGGGCTTGGGACCCTCCTGCCTTGGGGTCCAGGACCCTTTTTGTACTGGTGTGTGTCAGTGTGCTTGAGTATGCACCCCCCCAAATGTGATCGCTGAGCCCCCCGCACCAGACTTTGTACCGTGGGGCTCACGGCCCTAGGTGGGGAAGGACCCACTGTTAGTAGGTTCACAGACAGAAGGGTCAGCGGGCAGGCCCTGTCGGCCAGGAGAGGGTTGCCAAGGCCATGCATGTTGCAAGGGGTCCTAATGACTAACCTTTGCACATGGTCTTTTGACAGCTGTACTGAGAATGAGCTGGAGAGGGAGGTGGGAGGCCAGGGAGGGATGTAGTTGTGCACATCCAGGGAAGGGTGGGCCTGACTCTTGGGGCAGGAGAGCAGGGGCAGCAGCGGGGTCGGGGACAGAAGTGGGGGGAAGCTGCAGAGTACTGCGAGGGTGTTGGTGTCCTTCACTGAGGTGACCAAAGTGAGGGGCAGCCCCAGAGACTCTCCAGCCTGGGTCCTGTGAGGGGGGGCCCCTTGTCCACCGCAGTGCAGAGACCACTCAGGTACTAGGAGGGAGTAGCCTCAGCCCAGGGGCCACCCCAGCAGGACCTTTTAAGAGCATTTGGAGAGGAGCACCTTGGGGGTTCCAGCATTTTGGGAGTTGGAAACAGGCAGTGTGGCTGGAGGGCAGGTGCAGGCGCCACCGTGGGGTGCTGCTGAGACTTCAGGATGGAGGATGCAGGTGGGGTTGGCTGCTCGGCTGCTCACTCACCTTGGTGGGCTCTCGGGCAGGTTTATGGAGCCATACATCTTTGGGAGCCGCCTTGACCAGGACATCATTGACTTGGACCAGACAGCCACGCATCTGCAGCTGGCCCTGAATTTCACAGCCCACGTGGCCTATCGTAAGGGCATCATCTTGTTTGTGGGCCGTAACCGGCAGTTCTCATACCTGATTGAGACCACGGCCCGCAGCTGTGGCGAATATGCCCACACCCGCTACTTCAAGGGCGGCCTGCTGACCAACGCTCACCTCCTCCTGGGCCCCCTGGTCCGCCTGCCAGACCTCATCATCTTCCTGCACACGCTTAACAACGTCTTTGAGCCCCACGTGGCCGTGAGAGACGCAGCCAAGATGAGCATCCCCACCGTGGGCATCGTGGACACCAACTGCAACCCCTGCCTCATCACGTACCCCATCCCCGGCAATGACGACTCGCCCCCCTCCATCCAGCTCTTCTGCAGGCTCTTCCAGACCACCATCAACCGTGCCAAGGAGAAGCGGAGGCAGGTCGAGGCCCTCTATCGACTGCAGGGCCAGGAGGGGGCTAAGGGCCTGGGTGCAGCTGACGCTCCTTCCCCGGGAGCAGAGGCCAGGCCGGCCTCGAGTCATTCCCCTTGACGCACTCACTCCTCCAGATAGCAACAGCAGCCAGGGCTGTTCTAGGCTGGGGACCCTGCCCCTCCCTGGCCACGGTCCTTAGAAGGCTAGTCATTCTGGGCATTGGGTCCCTGCTACCAGTCATGGTTCCTGGCAGCCAACTGCCCAGGGCTGCACTTGCCTGTGGGACCCAGCAGGTGCAGAGGCACCCTGTCCAGAAAAGTCCCTTCCGGAAGTGCTTGATCCCTGGAGTCTGAGCAGCCTCCCTTCTGCCTTGACATTAGCCTTTTGTATATTAGGAAGGTTCTTACACCAGATTGACTTTTATTTTAAAGTGTAGTAACCCTAGATAGGGCTGCTTACCCCACTACATGGTTTCAGAGGCTGTTTTACAACTTCAGGCTGCAGAGTGAGCCACTCGAAAGGTGATCCCACCTGGGGTGGAGACGGGCCGGGCAGAGCAGGCGGCACAATTCCAACAGGAATAAACAGGTTTGGCCAAACGGCCTGGCCCTTCGGATCCCAGTGTGGTCTCTGCACCTTTGTTTCTGATGCCCGTGGGGCACACAAGATGTGTGTATGCCCTTAGGGTCCTCCGGCTGCCCCTGAGGGTGCCGTCTGCAGTGCTAGGGCTCAGCACTCCTTGATGCGCCCACACCCTAAGCCGACCATCTCCCCTAGCAGTCAGGAATGACAAGGCACTTGCTCAAAGGGGCTTCTGACTCGATGGTGGGCCTCCCCTGGTAGCACACATGTTCCTGGGATGAGGTCTGGGGCCCTTTTCCAGGAACCCCTCCCCATGGCTCCCAGCATTTCTGCTCTTGGTGAATCTGACCGCCCCAAGGGACCTGTCAGTTGGGACATGTCGGGGCAGCAGGGCCTGATGGGGTCTGGAATAGAGTGGGTGGACACATGCCCACTTGTACCACCCTCTCTGTCCTGCAGAAGCACACAGGCCACGAGACAAGTCCAAGTGTGCACCCAGGCTCTCCTTTCAGGGCTGGGTGGGGGCGCCCTGGGTTCCTGGTTCAGAAAGTGCAGAGAACAGTGCCAGTTTGAAACCGATCCATCAGCATCACTTTGATTTGGAAGCCTAAAGTATGAAAGTACAAGTACGGGCAGGTAATCTGAGGGCCTCCCGGGGCTCCCCCCACAGAACATTTCCTGCGTGCAGAGGAGAGGCTCTGATGGAGAGAACACTGGCAGGAGCCGAGACCCTTGGAATCTGAACACAGTCCTGAAGCTGAGGGCTGTAGAGGGCCCACACCAGCCTTCAGAAGCAGGCCATTGGGTGGGATGCATCCTGGGAGCTCCAGGGCTGTTAAGGCCTGGACAGGGCACTGAGACTTGCAAGGAGGCACGGAGCTGATGGTCCAATGGGAGGAGCCAGGCAGAGAACTGTGCCAGGCTTCCCCGAGGAAGGGAGAGGTGGTGTCACCACTGGTGGAGGACTCCCTCCTGTGGGGACTCCCAGCATGCCTGCTGACCAGGCCTGACCCTGCTGGACAGCCAAGGGACCCCGGAAGGGTGGGGTGGGCCCAGGAGCCCAGCCTCACAGGGCCACTATGAGAGGGCCACATGGAGGGAGAGGCCAGGCCTCTGACTCTGCTGCCCACCCCCTACCTCCAATGCCATCTCCTCCATCCTGGGCACCTGGCTGGACCAGTCCTCAGAGGACTTCTGTCAGCCCCCAGACAGGTCTGTGCTTGATCCGGCAGCAGAATGCCAAGTGCGCAGCAGCAGCGAGGTGGGCTGGGTGGGGCTCATGGTTCCGGGCCGGTGCTGGGCCCTGTCTTTGCTATTGGCCCAGGAGCCAAGACTGGCCCCAGACCGCCCACTGCTGGACGCAGCTGGGAGATGTCCCGTGTGGGCTCCTGTGTGGGCTTCTGTAAAAGGCCGTGGGATGGTTCTGTCTTTGGAAAGGCATGTTAGGAAGGCAGGCATGCTGATCTCTGGCAGTGTCCCTGCCATCTCAGGATCTAGCAGTGCCTACAGTGCCAGTTCCCATACAATCTGAAGATCTAGATCGGCTGCAGAAGGAAAGCCAGGTCCAGAGCTGCTGTTCCTGTCAGCGGCCGAGGTCCCACCCCCAGCAGCAGCCCCCGTGCCATGCCCAGCGCCACCAGGTCCAGTCGCAGCTCTGCATCTAGGACATGATGCGGCAGCTCCATGGGGAGACCAGGGCCGTTTGGGGCCCTGCAGCCCTGCGGGGAGAGCCGGCTGGGGAGCCACCTCAGCACCAGCTCGGAACCACTCGGCCCGCCTCCAGCCCCATCAGAACTCACCTTCCCCTCCCGTCTGTGTGTTCATCTGGAGTTCTTTTTTTTCATCTTACATAGTTTTTTATGTTTTATCATTTAAAATGTAAATAAAACAAAATAAAATTTATGCCTTGCCATTTAAACTGCACACATCACAGACACTACATATAGTGCCGTGTGTGCGACCATCACCACCGGCCAGGTCAGAGCACGTCATTCCCGAGAATCAGCCCTGTCCCGGGGCGCTTGCCCCCCAGTGACCCTCCTCCAGCCCCAGCAGCCCCCATCTGCTCGTTCTCTCTTGCTCCATCCTCTATTCTGGATGTTTCCTGTCAATGGAATCAAACAACAGGCGCTTTTTGTGTCTGCCCGAATATAGGAGGGGACTACTTAATTTCTGTTTGTATTTGAACTAGCATTTTACTTATTAGAAAGGGAAATCCCAGATGAATTAAAGATTAGGCATCTAAAATGAAGCCCTCTTAGTAAATCCCTGCCTAATCTGGGGGTGCAAACCCTGGTCTAAGTGTGACATCAGAGCCAGAAGCCAGAAGGGAAAACGGCTGGCCGTTCCTGTGGCCAAAACAAAAACAAGAAAAATGTATAAAGCTGGAAAAACAACCCAGAAACTGCAAAAGCCATTCCCCAGCCCAAGACCAGAGCAGGTGGGACACGCCAGGTCACCTTCCCCGGACCAGCCCGAGGGACCCCGGCGGCTGCTGGCGGGCTGGGAGCAGAGACGGGCCTCACACCGCCCACTGCCGGATGCAGCTGGAAGGGCCCTGCGTGGGCCCCTGGGCCGGGCTTCTCTAGAAGCCTCCGGGATGGTTTTGGGTCTGGGAAGGCATGCGCCAGGGCAGGCTTGGGGGTGATCTTCTGTCCTCTGGCAGCTCCGGAGCCTCCCTGCCCTCGCCTCTGGCTGCAGAGACTGGCCTGCGTGAGCTGAAGCGTCAGGCCCCGCGCTCCCCGCCCAGTCGCAGAAGATGGAATGCGGGAGGGGCAGGGTGGGTCAGGGAGGCACATGCCGAGTGGAGACTGGGCGCCTCCCAACCCTGGCAGAGGAGAGGGGGTGCAGATTCAGGGAGGCCTGACGACACAGCTGGGCGGGGCCTGGCCACTGGCTCGGGGAGTTTGCTCACTGAGGGACTGCAGGCCGCCTGCCCAAGGAGTTCTACAGCCCTTACTAGGCAGCTGGCTGCTTAGGAGACATGCGGCTGCCATGGGGACGTGCCTCTGAACAGGGATTTCAGACAGGATGGGTGGCAGATGCCCCCTTGGATAGGCAAGTGTGAGCTGCTTTCCAGTGCCTGGAGTGAGGCTGGATGAATGAAAAGGCCCCTCTTGTGCCAGTGTCCAGTGCTGGGCCCCCATGCAGGGCACTCACAGTGGACAGAGAAACCTACAACTCCCACAGGCTCAAGCCACATCTCAGCATCCTAAGCTCCAGCTCTGACCCACGGCCCTCCCTGCGACTGGGGGACAGTGGACACTTGAGCCCAGGGTGTGTCCGGGCCAGCTGACACTGTCCTTCTCCAAGAAGGTGCTACTCTGTCATTGCCTGGACTCCATCTGGTCCTAGGGGCACAAGAAGGGCAAGGAGCACCTGGTGCCCACCGTCCACACCACTGTCACCCAGTTCAACAGTGTGGTCAACTGCTCCAAGGACCAGAGCATGACAGGCCAGGACCAGGGTGGTGGCCCAGTGGATCCAGGTGGCCAAAGGAGGTTGTCATAGGGCCAGGGGAGTCCCTCTCCAGAGTTCTGGAAACCATCTCTTCTTTGGGAATTAGGTCTTCGGCCTCCTGGCTGGTCTCCCCTGCTGGGACTAGCTTCCTCTGGGCTGTTGCGTGGATGTGGGGGGAGGGGTTGTTCCTTCCCCAAACCAGCCTAGCCTGTCCTCAAAAAGCCCGGCGCCGCTGTTACTCCTGTCTACACTGCACTTCCCTCCTGTCCAGGACAGGGTGCCGCAGGCAGTGCTCACAGCCAGGTGGTCAAGGAGCCTCCCAGCATTTACGGCCCCAATGGCCAGAGCCAGGAGGCAGGTCTGGACGCACTGTGGGACTCACCGCTCTACCCTCAGGGTGGACGCTGCTGATCACAGAGAACCCTGCAGGATTCTCACGGGGTGCCCCGGCTCTGCGGGCAGCCAGCCCATTTGCCCAAGTTAGCAGTAAACTTGTCAGCTTGTGTGAAGTATCCTGGCCCAGCGTCAGAAGCTTCCCTGTGCAAGAGGGAGTACAGTGCGCTGCCCAGCGCCCCAGCTGCCCCACCCTGTCCATCAGAGGCATCATTTGGGAGGCCCTCCTGGGCAGGGAAGGCACAGTTCCGGGTGGGGATCTTCCAGAGGGGCTCCAGGAGGCTGGCACAGAGGGGAGCAGGTCAACTGGGGCTCCCCAAAGAGCAGGAGGCCCTTCTGCATGGAAAAAAGGGGTGGCCCCAGCTTCATAGACACTCATGGCGGGGAGGTGGGGGATAGGGGTGGGTGAGGGCCAGTAACAATGGAAGACACCGTCCAGTGCTAACCCTCTGGGCACTGTCCTAATTGCCCTGCATCTCATTCAGGCCTGCCACCTACGGGACTAGGTCCCACCGGGATTTCCATTTTGCAGTGTCGGCACCGTGGCTGCGCGGCCTCGGGCACGAGAACGCAGGTTCCCGCTGGCTCTGGGAAGGGCCCCGAGGGCGGGGGCGACAGGTGAGCCGGGGCGGCGCAGCAGCTGGGAACCGGCGCCCGCCGAAGCCCGGAGGCGCCGCCGCGCGTGGCTGGGCCGGCAGGGTTCGCTAGAGGGCGCTGCGTGGGCGGGCTGGGGTGGCCGTGGTTTGGCCCGCGCGGCCACCGTACGCCCTATAAAGGGCGCGGTGCGCGCTGCGCGCTCTTTTCGGACGGCGGCGGTCATGGCGCTCCCTGCGGCAGCGGCTTGGGTCCCCGGGCTGCCTGGACCCAGCAGAGCACATCGCGGGCGCGCCGCCCCTGCGTCCGATCGGTGCGCCCTCCCTCCGCGGCTGCAGGGGCCCCGGGCCCGGCGCCGTCCGCCTGCGCTTCCCCCAGCGCGTCTCTGACCCACTGGCTGCGACCTTGAGGAAGTCGCCTCGTATTTCTGGTCATTTGTTTTGTTTTGTTTTTTTGAAGGAAGGGACGGATTGTCACTGCCCATTGGGCCTTGTCTGAAGACCGGGCGATTCCCGAGTACAGTGGGCGGTGGCGTCCCGGTTCAGGGCTCGGCGCGGGCGCCGTCGGGTCCCCGGACTGCCCCGCCGCGGGGGTTCAGCGGCCAGGACGCCATTATTCTGTGCAGCGCCGGCACGCTGGACCCCGCGTGTTTCATGTGCCCCAGTTAGACAAGGAATAAAGGGAAAGGGAAGCGGGTTTCGTGTTTTCTAGAAATAAGTAAACCTGGTGGCAGAGCCCTTGGGAAACCCAAGTGTAGCAAACGCTGGCCTGGTCCAGTACCTCTTTGTGGACTCCTGGTTCTTAACGACGTGTGGGTTTCTTTTCCGCTAGGGAGCTTGCCTGTGGGAAACCGGGTGCATGGAAGGGCATGCTGGGCCCTCGGGTGAGTTGGCACCTGGGACGCTGGAACAGATTAGCCCCCAGAGCATGACCTTTTCTTATGAACTAAACCCCTCCTGTGACATCCTAAGGGACTGTCAGGGCCAGCGACCTGCACTGACGTGGAGGGGGCTAAAATCTTGAATCAGTCTCCCACATTCCCTGCCTCCAGAGGCGTTGCAGGTGCGGCTGCCGTGCCACATTTGTGTCATTAGGTGGCAGAGAGAAAAGAGGCTTGTCTACGCTCAGTGTTCTGGCTGGTGAACATCTGGATGATTAATGGTCTGACACGACGCCACATGTACTTCATCACTGGTGTGCGTTTATGGCAACTTGCAGCCTATTATGTAAAAGCTTTTTTGATTCTTTCCTAGCGCTTGTCTGGCCTCATGAGGAGGTTCTGCATTGGACAGCAGGACGTGGGAGAGGACCACTGGAGCGTCAGTGAGTGGAAAATGGGAGCAGATTGCAGTTGGCTAACGTGCTGAAGAGCAGAGCATTGCTTATCTCTCAACGTTGGATCAAAAAAATGGTGGTCCCCAGATTTTCCTTTGGGGTATAGAATAATGCCACCTGACAATCTGAAATGATTTAGGTGCGTTAAATGTTAAGAGTATTCTCAGGTAGCTACTCTGCTCCTTCCAAAACAGCAGCCAGAAGCTCTAGAAGTAGAATTGCGGGATTTTAACGTTACAGAAATGGTTCAGCGTGCCCACTGCTTTCTCCTTCACAGGAGGCGTAAGTCCCAGAGCATCACTAACTGTCACCGTGTGTGGACTTGGCAGTCCGTCCATCAGTACCCCACTAGTGGCTTGCGGAGAGGGTGCAGAACTTCTGAGGAAGGTCCCTCTTGCTGCACTGGGATCCTCCAGTTCAGTAAACGGTGTAAGCACCCCTGGCTTTCTTAATCTCAGGTTGTCGGTGGGAGGTTTGACTTGACGGAGGAAAAGGGAAAGGGGTCCCCTTGTTAGAACAGCCTTCACTTAAGTAGAGCTGTAGATGGCTCGTTTGTGCTACAGTTGCCAAAGTGGTAGGGTTTTTTCAGAATCATCTGTAAGGCGTAGGAAGGTTTGCTGGTTATTCTAATTGTGGACATTTTTGTTATTTGATACAGGAGAAGCCCCTTACCGCTCCCTGAACATCAGCTCACAGTGTGGACACTGGCCAGAAGAACCGTCACAGTCCAGACCAAGGTAAGAGGAGAGGTGAAGGCTGGCATGACCTTCACCTCGGGTGGGGGTGGTGCTTCTCGCCTCCAGGATTGCTGGCTGTGTGGGATTGGCTGCCCCACAGGTGCTGGCCTGGCCAGCACCCCAGGGGCAGCTGCTTGCTGCACCTGTGATGTCAGGGCAGAGAAGAAGTGGCTATTTCTACGCTCAGTGCCCAGATCCGTGAGCACTAAGAATGGTTTGTAGCCTGACAGTCCTCAGCTCTCAGCAAGGCAGCTGCCGTCCCATGAGGGCCTGCCTGACATCTGGGAACCCCCGGGGTGACACCATTTTGGTGTTCTTCATCTGTAAAATGAGACCTGTGTGTATAAGCACAAGGTGAGCTGTGGGCACAGTGGAATTAACCAGGAGAGGGTCTCTGCAGAAATGGTTGGCACGGGGTCTGTCTGGGAGGGCTTCTTTCAGGGCCCTTGGGCAGGTGTGACATGCATCTGTGGCCAAGAGCTGCTGAGCTGGGATGAAGAGCTCGTGTCCCGTCCGCTTGTTGCTCTCTGTGAGGCCTCTAGGTCCTGTGCCCGCAGCCCCTGCTGTACAGAGACCCTGGAGACCAGCAGAGCACGTTCAAGGGGCAGGAGGTGATTTGGTCAGGCTGGGAATGGAGAGAATGCAGAGGTCACTCCTGGCACTGTCCTGTTAAGGGAACAAGTTGGGGCCTGTGTGCAGCCCCTTATGACCCTAACTGTAAGTGACGGTCCAGACTAAGGCACTGGGGAGTGAAAGGGCTCAGTTCTTGGGCTCAGGACAGCAGGGCATTCATTTCCTAAATGCTAAGTTTGAGGGTCAAACAAAAGTTATAGATCCATGGTTCTCAATCGAGGGCAATTTGTGTCCCTCCACCCCAGCATGTGGCAGTGTCTGAAGACTAATAGGGAGGAGGGAGGTGGAGGCCAGGGATGCTGCAGCGCCCTTCAGCACACAGCGCAGCTGCTGCAACTGGCACACATGATGGGGCATCCATGGACGGCTTCCCTGGAGTGAGTGTGGGGAATCCAGTCCAGGTTAAAGGTGAGAGGCCTGCCAGGCCCACTGTCGTTACTTAATTCCTCAGGTCCAGGGGCCCAGCCTGGCACCCCATAGGTGACCCTGGAGTAGACCTCCAGATGCAAGCTCGGTCACTCCAGGACCTGCCTCAGGATGGTAGGTTGGCAGGGGTGGCTGGCTGAGGTTCTGGGCCCTCAAGCTGGATGTGGGTCTGCTGGGGTCGGGTGGCAGTGCAGGGGATTTTCCTTACTGGTGGCATTGCTTGGTGCCCTCTACTGATTGGGCAGCCAGTTGGCCACCTGGAAAATGAAAGAGAGCCTTTGAAGGCACTGTCTGGGCAAAGGCTGGTGGACCATCAAGGCTCTACCCTGCCACCAATAGGGGGCATTGTGCTGCCCCCCAAAAACAACACTCAGGAGATGCCGCTCCTCGGCTTGTCTGCTGTCTGCAGTATACAGCAGCAGCCTCCAGAATCCAGGCCCCGCAAAGTGCACGCATTGAAAGTTAAACTGGTCCTGAAGCACCTTCTGTATGCACATAGGGGGTACACATGGGTGGCCCTTTAATAAAGGCACATCTTACTTTCTGGGCACATGCATGTGCCTTTGAGAGAAGAGGTAAGAATGTTAGCGCGTTGACATTCAAGTAGCTGACAGGGAAGCCACCCTCGGCCTCCGGGCAGTGAAGGTGGGGCAAAGCACCAGTCTCTTGGGGTGGCAGGATGACATTTCAGCTGACCCTGCCGCCTCGCCTGCTAGATATGACTTAGTTAATGCTGCATAAGAAATCGCCCAGAAACTTGATGCCCTCAGTTTCTGGGGGTCCGGAGTGGCCTGCCTGGGCAGTTCTGGCTGGATTTCTCCCGCCAGATAGGGTGCAGTATCTGGATGCGTGCCGGGGCAGCATGCTCTGGCTGTTGGCAGGAAGCCTTGGTTACTTGCCACGGGGCCTCCCCGAAGACAGCCCAGGGGTCCTTACAACTTGGTTGCTCCCCCAGAGGGCCCAGGGCCAGCTCGGTGTGGGAGAGCTGGAGGCTGTGGGATATAGAACGGGCTTGTGGCGCCTTTGCCAGCCGGTCCTTGGGGTCGGGTAGGAGCTCACTTGAGGCAGAAAACTGCTCAGGTGTCATGCGGTCTTAGAGTTGAGGATGTCTTCTCAGTCTTCAAACGTCCACAGGACAGGGTCCATTTGATGTGAGGTCCATCAGAGGCCGGGTGGTGAGCGGAACTCTCAGAAGAGTGGGAGCTGGGCTCAGCGTGTCCCAGGGAGGCTGAGGACTCAGCAGCCATGTGTTTGCATTGCAGAGACCTCTGACCTTCCGGCTCCAACTGAGACCCAAGGTGTTGACCAGGGAGTGTGGCGACCCGTCCTGCCAGCCCGTGAGGTGCTGCTTGTGGGTTATCTCAGACATGGCTGGTTTCTGTTCACAGATGAGGCCCCTGCTGGAGAAGCCTGGGGCAGCATCCTCAGGCCCCTGGGAACGCACGCACGGTACCGCAGTGGGGAGACAGCACATGGCTTTGGGGCACTTGTCCGCACCCTGCTGCGAGGGCACACAGGACAGGACTGGGGAAACCGGCTCTAAGAAGTGTCTCTGGAGGAACAGAACCACAGGCTTATAATAGCTGAGCAGCGCATCCGCGTTGGAAAGCAGCCCGGGTGCCCAGCCAGCAGGTTCTACGCCAACATGGTGGCTTTGCAGGCTGAGGGCGCTGCTGCCTAAGTGTCAGCTGAGATGGCTCAGGATCTGAGAGACCAAGGGAAAGCCGGTGACGGGGACACAGTGGACTGGGGGACATACAGTGCACGTTTGCAGAAGGCCCCAAGGTGCTGCAGCCCAGCTCTGCTTTTCAAAAATGAGTGGGCAGACAGGTGGTCTCCCTGCCGGGCAGGGTTAGTACATCCACCGCGCCTCACGGGTCAGCAGGGGGCCCCTGTGTGTGTGACACTGCAGTGGGTAAAGGACACGGCACCCATCTGAAACCCCCCACTCATGTCTGGGGAGCACGGTCATGGCCAGCTGCAGGGTCCAAGTGCCCAGTCCCAAGCTTTCACTGTATTCAGATATCTTCCCCTCAAGAGGAAAACTCTAGATGGGAAAATCATTTTAATATATTTGGAGTTTAGGAATACTGGGAATATGGTGTAATAGTTGAGATTTTACAGTGTGTGTTTTAGGCAAAAGGTTTTTAGAGAAGCCATGTGGGGGGTTGTGCACCTCATTGGGCAGGGCAGGTTGGAATGTGGGCACTCTCAACGTGCCAGCTCCAGGGAAGGGGGCCAGGCTCCAGGGAGCACAGCTTCCTGTTGTGGGTCGGGGCAGAAGAGAGGAAATGCTTGGCTCTTTCCCAGATAACAGACTGTACCTAGAAGTTCATTAAAATGAGTTAAAGAACAAGGTCAGCCTGGATGGTTTTGTGCAGAGGCACTCCACTGTCCTGCTGGCCCACAGCCAGCACACGGTCACGGAACCCTGCTGCAGTCCGGGTGTGGCTGCTCGTCGGTCACTGCAGAAACCAGGGATGAAGGCTGGCGCCCACACCCTGTCTCCCACCTCCATCCACCAGAATGGCTCTGGGAGCCGGAGGGTCAGGCGAGGCTCTCCAGAATGCCTGCTGAGGGCCTCGCCACTGGGCAGTGTGGATGGCAGGGCTGGGCAAGGCACTTGGCACTCACAGAAAAGCTGTTTATTTACATCCTAAGTTCCTCAGTAGTAGAACCCAGCTTGGCAGGGTGGGCACCTGGCCAGCCCTTGGTGTTGAGGCCCAGATCCTTGCCTCTTTCCAGAGAAGGGTCCAGTTGTTGGGAGTGCTTGGGGGGACAGGGACACAAAGGCAAGAGCCTCCAGGCACGGGCAGCCCACAGGGCTGGGGTCAGGAGTACTGGGTGTGGGAGATCTTCTTCCAGAGCAGGGCCTTGAGCTGGCTCAGCACCAGGGCGTGGTGGGCCTCCACCTGGTTGGCCCGCCCACTCAGCGTGGTGCAGGTACGCAGCTGCCTGCCCAGCTCCTCCTGCAGTTCGGTGGGGGCGCCGGGCAGCAGGTAGTCCCGCAGCAGCTCACACACCTTGGCCAGATTTGGCTGGATGAGGTCACCCTTGCACTGCCGCAGGAGCTTGTCGCAGGGGGCCCGGCAGTCGCGGCCAAACGTGCAGTCGGCACTGTGCTCGCAGCGGCGGCCCCGCAGGAAGCGGCGCACTGTGGCCTCAGGTGCCACCTGCTGCAGGTCAGCCATCCTGAAGTCGTGCTTGGCCGTGTAGCCCACATTGGCCAGCGTGGTCTCACACATGTAAAAGTTCCCGTAGGAGCCGTGGAAGAGCTCCTCCACAAACTCCAGCAGCCCCAAGGCGATCTTGGCCCGCCAGGGCCACGCAGGCCCCAGCCACTGCTGGAGGGCTGGGGGCAGCAGTGGGCGCAGGAGGGGTGGCAGCGCAGCCCCGGGCCAGGAGCTGTGCGGGACAGCCTCGGTGACATACAGGTCACCACAGTAGCCCAGCAGCCTGGGGGCATGGTCCTTCTGCAGAGACAGTAATAGCAGGAACTCCGTGCGCTGCAGCAGGGCCCACACCGACTTGGCCTCCGCCAGGGACACCCTGCCATCCTTGTTGACATCAGCCATGAGCAGGACCTGTCCAACCAGAGCAGGCAGGGAGGGCAGGTCTCCCAGGTTCACCTGATGTTTGGAGCCAAGAGAAAGGGGACCGTGTCAGGTGAGAGCCGGCGGGAGATCAGCCTCGCTGTGAGTTACAAGTTGGCAGGGCGCCAGCCTTGTCCTCAGGTCCGTGAGCACAGCTAGGCGAAGAATCCCACACAACTACCAGCTTGGGGGAGCCCAGCCTCCAACTGCATGGGTGGAGAGGACTAGGCCCATGGGAAGCCCCCCTGCCACCTGTGGATGCCCTGCCTGACCACCCCCAGCCCCACTCCCCCCACCAGCGTGGCTTCCCATGGCCAAGTGTCCTCCAGGGTCCGGGAGCCTGGCGGGGGCACCTCAGCACGGGGCCCAGAGCAGGGCAGGTAAGGCCATCTTTCATGTGCCCCCATCCCACTCCCATGTACCTGCAGCTCTCTGCTCTCCAACAGATGCCACCAGGGGCAGGGCCCTCCCTGCCTAGTGGGTGCTCAGTGAAGGTCTGCTTGGAGGTGGGGAGCTAGCCAGACACCTGCTGGCCTGTATGGCCCCACTCAGCCTCCCTCCCGCCTTGGGCACACATCCCTAGATGTGAACTTGACACAGCCACCCAGAGAGACAGCTGACCTTGAGAAAGCTGAGGGTCATCTCCCGGAACTCCTTAATCGAGGTGCCCCGAGTAGGCTTGTCAAACAGCACCAGCTCCCTCCCGGGGACGGTGTCTGAGCCAGCCTGGGATCGCAGGCCCTCCTCGATGCCGCACTTGATGGTCACCGCCTTGCCCTGCCAGAGCCCGCTGTACACCTGGATGGGCCACAGGGATCCTCCGTGCACATGGTGCCCCCCCACTACACCTCCACGTCCAGCTCCAGGCCCTCCCCCAGCCTGCATGCTGGGCTCACCTGCTGGCCTGGGACAGAGGAAAGGCAGGCCCCCCATTCCACCTGGCGCAGGCGGCACAGGTCCTGGCAGATGGACCCGGAGATGATGCCCTTGTGGTACTGGTCACACTGAGGACAGGAGGAAGACACCTGGGGAGTGGTGCTGGGGGTTCCTCCCCCACCCTTCACATGTTGCGCCCCTTGGTGGGGGCAGGCTGAGGCTCCCATCAGCATCTGCCAGTTGCCCTGGTTCTTAGACCACACTGCTCAGAGGGGCCCCCAGACCAGACCACTGCAGCTGGTGATGACCAGGCAGCCTCGGGGCACCCCTGAGATACCCTGGAGGGCCAGGGCACCCCCAGCTGGCAGGCACCTTCTGCTCCCTGTGTCTGAAAGCCCCCAGCCCCTCCTAGAGTCCACGGCTACCTTCACCAGCCTATCCCCCACAGTCCTGCGATGCTGCTGAGCTTATCGGCACCACTGCCTCTGAGCAGATGCCCAATTCACCCTGGCTTTGTGTCTTCCCCCGGCCCTTCTCTGCGGCCCGAAGCAGGAGCAATAGGGCCAGTGACGCCCCGGTGGTGGTGTGGAAGCCCACCCCGTGGCTGCCTATCCTCTGTGCAGGTCACACCTGCAGCTGCCGGAGGGAGCATACCAGCTGAGTGCCGTGGTCGACCTCCTGTAACACGGGGAGGCTGCTCCCAGGCCTTCCAGCCATGGGCATGGGGTGTATGAGGTCTGTCACTCCTGTCCTGCCCCACCCTGGGCCACCTCATTAGCCAGACTCAGTAGGAGAAGCTTTGAGCAGTGATTAGGTCGGCTCCAGAAGAGCTGCCACCTCCTGGCCGGTCCCTGACTCGCAGGGGTCGGGGCTGACCTGAGCAGGACAGCAGGGAAGCCTGAGGTGGAGTCGAGCCCCTGCCTGTTGGGAGCTGTGGCACCTGGAGCGCGTGGGGTGAATTCCTGTGTGTGTGCATCACTGTTGCCACGGAGCCCAGGCCTTGCTGGGGCCAGGCTGGGAGGCAGGAGAAGGAATCAGTGCAGAGCATGGCGTCACCCAAGTGCAGGGAGGAGGGGCAGCAGAGCCAGGGACAAAGAGATGGCCCTGGAGAGGCCTGCACTCCTCTGCTGAGCAGGAAGGGGGCCACTGCGCTGTAGCATCATGAAAATGGCAGCCATTCATCAAGACAGGAAGGGAACAACTACATGCATCTGGCCCACTGTTTCATGGGGGGCTAGCCACAAGGTCCCAAACCCCACAGAGCTGCAGGGCGTTTGGGGTGACCTGCGGGCCACGGGCCACAGCGGTGGGCTGCTCCATTAGGCCCACACTCCCACCCGGCCAGTCCCCAGCCTGCCGCCATGCTGCTCGCCTGGTGGGAGGGGCTGAGGCCAAGTGCCCTGCCATCCCAGCCCGTTTCCCGACCGCAGACTGGGTTGTGGTGGGAACAGCCTGCAAGCCCTTGGCATACTGTGGCCTTGGACAAGCTGTGGAATCCCTCTGGAGATGGGCAGTGCCTCCGTGAGATGGCCAGGTCTCCTCTAAAAAGGAGGTGTCCTTATGGCCCCAGGAGAGCTGAGCTCAGCTGTGACCTCTGGGAAGGCTCCCAGCAGCCCAGGGAAACCCTGCTGGCCAGAAGGCCAGGCACCCTGGGCAAACGGGGACTACAGCTTCCCCTTGTTGGGAGGGGCACAGTCTCCTGCTCCTCCAGTGGCCTCTTGGTCCTCTGCACGTTGCGAGGCTCCTGCCAGCACCTGGGTGCTCAGGGGAATGCCTGCCCACGCTCTGGACCTCTCACCATGCCCCGCTGGCCAGTGCCCCCTCACACTCCCCCTCAATCGCTCCAGCAGGGCGCCTGCTGCAGCGCAGCTCCCAGGGCCCTTGGCCCAGCCTGGCCCTCCCCAGACTCTCCCCACTGCTGCCCAGGCAGAGCTGGGCCAGCCTGCACGGGCTCCCTCCTCATGCACCTGCCCTGGCCCCCAGACTGTGAGGCAGGGCCACGTCCAGAACCCAGCTCAGGCCTGGCCCCTGCAGGCCACGGGGGTGCATTTCGGAAATGAATGAGCAAGCCAAGAACACACCAGAGGCCTGAAGGCCCTCCCTACAGGCATGGGTGCTGCGTCCTCAGCGCTGGGTGCTGGCCTGACCCCCCACAGGAGTCTGAGCCAACCACCAAGGATTGGACACCACCCAGCGCTGGCAAGTCCTGTCACATGGGATCTTTGCATCCTGGACCCCATGCCCCTGCCCACGGCCAGCTCTGGACTTTCCCAAAATCCAGCCTCTGCGGGAACTCGGGCAGAGCAGGCCTCCCTGGGCCCTTCCAGGCTGGCTTCTGTGCCACACTGTTCCCCGGAGAGTGGTACCCTCCATCTCACAGGAGGAGGAGAAAATCCACGCGGCCTGCTGGTTCGGGCAAGTGGAGACAGGATCGAAGCCTGGGGTCTCCCCGCGTCTCTAAACCACAGCTCCCCCTTGGAAACCCTAGGAGTTCCTGCTGCTCTAGGTCAGGTCCTCCAGGCCCGTCCGCAAGATGAGGTCTCAGGACCCTGGTCAGGAGGGCTAGGCAGGGTGGCAGGGTGGGGTCATTACGAGTCTAGGGTTTGCCAAGGACCCCTTGGCCCGGCATGACCTCTCCAGGCAGTCACAGGGAGTCAGCAGAAGCAGCAAGCCAACAAGGTGTGCACACACACGTCACTGCACACACACGGTGTGTCACACCGCACCCTCACATGTGTGAACCAAGCACAAGCGCATGCACACAGCACACCTGCGCCCTCACATGCCAACAGGCATGTGCACAAGGTCCTTTCCAGGTGCCACCTTCAGCGCTCTCCCCAGCAGGAGGCTGTGAGGACCAGGCCTCCTCTGCTAGGCCCCCGAGACGACCTCAAGGCCACCAGCACCTGCCTGCCCCAGTCCCCAGCTAAAACATTGTCCCTCCCAAACACCTGGAGGCCATCCCATGTGCTCAACCCCAACGGCCCGCCCACCATGCTCTCCTGGGCACCCCAGCGGCCCCCACATGCTCTCTCCCTTCCTCCCTGCCACCCCGTCTCCCCGACATCTGGCCAGACGCAGCTCTACAAAGCACAGTCAGATCCACCTTGAAATCCACGATGAGCCCATGTGCCAGCACAGGGCAGGGGCTCAGAGCCTGCTGCCCCTGGAGCGCAAGGCCGGCCCTAGGCAACACTTACGATGACCACCCGGCAGACGTGCCCGCGGCAGAGCTCCACGTATGTCGAGTAGTGCACATATGCCATCCAGCTGCCCGCAAAGACGATCAACCAGACCAGGAAGACGTACTTGACCCTGAGGCCCGGGAGCCGGCCCTGGTCAGGGGAGGAGGCACATGAAACGCATTTCAGAGCCCAGCCCTCCTGCCCCGTCCCAGCTTCCGGGCCAGCCCACTGCCTGGGGCTGGGCTGCAGTCTTTCCCCACACTCAGGGCACCCACTCGGGTGGGGGTGCTGCCTGGTAGCTCGCAAACCTGGTGAAAACAGAATTCAATAAGAGGGGGATACAGGGTCCATAACTACTGTGGAATAAGGGTATTTTTAATTTCCCTCCTGTCTTGCCTTCATTTCATAACAACATTTAACCTCCGCACAAGATCAGGCCGGAGAATCACCACACGAGCCCATTGTCTTCTGGCTGGTGGAAAGTTCTGGCTGGACCAGGACCAGCAGGGGGGATGGGGCTTGGAGGCTGCTGGTGCAGGGGGCAGGGCCCTGGCGGCAGTCACCCGGGAAGCCTTTAAAAGATGCGGCCTCAGACACCCAACTCACAGCATACTTATTCCCAACAGCCGGAGGGCGGACACTGCCCGAGCGTCCGTCGGCAGGCGACCCGGAACCAAACTGGGCCGTGCACACCGTGTCACCGAGCCCTCAAAAGGAGGGAATCCTGATGTGCACCGCAGCACGCAGGGACCTGGGGACACTGCGCTCCGTGAGACAAGCCCGACGCGGAAGGACAGACCCTGTGGGACTCCACTCCCAGGAGACCCCTGGAGGGGCAGATCCACAGAGACGGACAGAGGGTAGGGGCCCGGGGCTGGGAAGGGCGGGGAGTGAGTGTTCAAGGGGGACAGTCTCAGCTTGGGAAGATGGAAGGTTCTGGAGACGATGGTGGGGACAGCCGCACAGCACGTGGATGTGCCTGATGCGTCTGAACTGCGCACTTAGGAACGGCTAAGATGGCAAATCTATGTCTTGTGTATTTTACAATAAAGAATAAACAAGACATGCAGCCCGCGGCCCTGCTGCCAGAGGCTCTGCCCCAGATGGCTGGGGTGGCCCAGGAGCTGCTTCTACAGAAGGTTCAGGCCCTCTACCGAGTCCCCCTGGCTGGCAGGTGGTATCACTGGGCGTGAGGGTCCCAGATGACTGCAGCAGATGGGCTGGGGGTGCTGCCTCCCACTACCCCCTTCCCCAACCCCTGCCATGGCAAATCACACATCTCTTGGGCTAACGTCCAGGAGCTGAGGAGAGGGGGCTCCCAGGAGCTGCCCTGTGCAGGGACAGAGCCCCACCAGGAAAGGGCCAGGCTCTAGGGGCCAGGAGAGCAGGTGGGCTTGGGGCTGACCTGCCCCCAGAGAAGGAACGAATGCCAGAGCAGGCCGCCCGCCGCACCAGCCAGGGCGGGGGGCTGCCCCCTGCACAGTAAGTGGGCCACAGCTCCCCACCAAGCCTCCAGGCTCAGCCGGGCAGCTCCGGTTATTTTTATGGTTCCACCTCTTGCTTCCCTGCGCCTGTTCACAGGGCTGCCCAGGAGGGGCTGCAGCAGGAGGCCCCGAAGAGCTGGGCTCAGAACCTCAGCGGCCCCTGAAGGGCAACAGGTCTGGGGTGGCCCCGGGGCAGAACGTGGGGCTGGGCTTCAGGCCCTCCTGTCCCTGCCACCACATCTGTTTCCGTCACATTTGTTCAAAATGGAAAACAGGAAGGGACAGAAACAGTGGGTGGGCCTAGGGGGTGTTTGGCAGGACAAGGCTCAGGGACTACAACTGGCAGTGAACAAAGCCCCAGAAGCTGGTGGTGAACAGGGACTTTGGGTGGGCTTCCAGCCCCCGGAAGGCCTGAAGGTCAGCGCTGGGGGGAGGGGGCGGTCAGCCAGGAGGAGAGCAGGCTGTGGCCAGCACAGGACCTGGGGGCTCACCTGGGGATAGACTCAGGGCCAGAAGGCTGCCTGCTGGGCCCACCCCGGACACTGCCATACCCCAGCCAGACCCCCTCCTTTGCGCAGTGGCCCTCTCCCGGTACACCATCCCCAGCTGGCTAGCTCTGATGGACCCCCAGGTCTGATCTCAGGAGCAGCCTCAGGCCCCACCCCTTCCCTGCCCTGATCCCTGGTGAGTCCTGTCTCCCACCCTGCCCAGCTCCTGGTGGGGGTCACGCAGGCGACAGTAACAACACAACAATCGGTGCCCCACAGGCTGGTACCCCACCCACACCAGGGGCTCCAACCCACTAACCCAAGAGGGTGTTTCACAGGCAGAGAAACTGAGGCTCAGAGTGTGTGTGACACTAAGGAGCGACAGGGCTCAAGCCTCTGGGAAACTGCAGAGCACCTCTCCCACTCATCCACCGTTCCTGCAGAGCTCGGAGGCCGGGTGCCCAGGGCCGTCAGCCGGCCGCTCTGGGCCTCTTCCGCAGCAGCCTGGTTGAGGTGCTCGCTGCCGGGCAGGCCAGTGCACACCCACCTCCCACCTCGGGCTGCCAAGACCACCACGCACCCGGAGAGCCCAGATGACACAGATGTGCAGCCCATGAGTTTCCCAGCTCCCATCCCCACCCTTCTCCCTGGAGGGGAACTGAGGCCAGCCAGGCCCTGGGCCAAGGGTACGGCCCTGGCACGCAGTCTCCTGTCCTGGATGGAGGACCGCCCTGGGGAGACCAGGGAGGTGTGGATGGCTCTGACCGGGGCTGTCGTGCAGGGCACTGCGGTCCCAGGGTGGGCTCGGATGCTGACACTCTGATGCAAGCCTGGCTCCCACCTCCCCAAAGCAGAGGCGATGGGTCCTTCAGCTTGACACCCAAAGCAGCCTGGCCCCCTGCAGACAGCAGGCCCCTGGTGGAGACACCGTCTGTCCAAGGTCAAGGTGGGGTCGGCTCACACCTCTAAGCTTGGACCGGCTAGGGGATGGATGACCCGGGGGGAAGCTATGTCCTCCTTATGGCGTTTTAATGTGTCCTAGATTTTCCAAACAGAAAAACAGGCCTTATCATCTAGTCAGAGGCAGGGGGAGCAGCCTGGCGTGACTCCCGGGCCCCGGGGGCTGGGGCGCCGCCCCGCAGCGTCCGCCCTCCGCCGCCCCATCGGCGCCGCCCGCGCGCCCGGCCCCCTGTCATCCCCGCGGCCTCCCCGGGCCCACACATCCCCGCGCTCGGGAACCTCCGCTCCTGCCCCGCGCGCAGGCTGCAGGCCGCACGCCCCGCCGCGGCCCGGGCCCGAGGGCGGGCGGGCTGGGGGGCGCCTACCTGCAGACCCTTGGAGCAGGGGCAGAAGAGCACCAGGTGCGCCAGGCGCCGCAGCCGCCGCATGGTGGGCGCCCGGCCGGGGCGCGGGCCCTNGGCCCGAGGGCGGGCGGGCTGGGGGGCGCCTACCTGCAGACCCTTGGAGCAGGGGCAGAAGAGCACCAGGTGCGCCAGGCGCCGCAGCCGCCGCATGGTGGGCGCCCGGCCGGGGCGCGGGCCCTGCTCGGCTCGGCCTCAGCCCCGCGGGCCGGCCCGCAACGGCTGCCGCTCCTCCTCTCCGCCCGCGCCCGCGTCCGCGTGCACGCGGGGGCGCGCGCTCCGCCGACCGGCGGCGGAGCAGGGGCGGGGGGCCGGGGGAGAGGAAGTGGGGCGAGAGGGAAGGGAGGGGCGCTGCGGGGGGAGGGGCCGCGGCCCCGCCCCCGCCCGCGCTCCCCCGGAGGTCACCCGCGGTCACCCGCGGCCGGCAGGGGCCCCCGCGGGGAGGGCGGGCGCAGCGTTCCGCCCCGGGCCGGGGTTGTGTCCGGGCGAGGCCCGAGCTGGGGTCGGCGCCAACACCCACCGGCCTGCGGGCGTTTGCCTGTCCGCCCTTCGGCGAGGGCGCAGTAAAGTGCCCCTCCTTCACCGGGCTCTTCTGCGGGGGCGACGCGTGGGCACGGCCGCCGCCAGTTGCAGGGTGCAGAGCAGCCCCGAGGGCGCCGCCGGCGCCCGGAGCGCGTCCCTCCTCGGCGAGAGGGTCCTTCAGCGTCCCCCGCTGGGGGACGCTTGGGTGGGCCCTGGCTGGGCGTGATTAAACTTTCGCGTTCAGGTTTTCGCGCGAAGCTCAGTTTCCCTTTCCCTCGGCTGAGCACGAGGAGGGCCCGCTGAGACTGATGGTCAGGGGCACCCGACTTCCGGGCACCTGCCGGCAGCTTTCCAGGCGCAACCCGCACGGGCGCACGCCTCGCAGCTGCGCCGCCTTCTCGCCCGCACATGGTGTGGTCAGTCTCTCAATTCCAGCCAGTCCAGCGGGTGGCCGTGCGGCGGGGTCGCCCCGTGTTTGCCGGGTGCATGTCCCCAAGTGCTGCTGATGTTGATCGTGTTGTCACGTGCTCCGTGGCGACCCGTATATCTGTGCCAGCTAAGTGTCAAATTTTTTTGCCCATTTCTTTTTTGGTATTATTTTTGTTATTGTCACTGAGTTTTGGGAGTTCTGTCTCCTGGATACCAGTACATTATCTATTATGTGATATGTAAATATTTTCTCCCAGGCTGTTGCTTGTCTTTCATTTTCTTAAGTGACTTTCAAAGAGCACAAATTCATAATTTTGATGAGGTCCATTTAATCCGTTTTTTTATTTTCTGGTTTGTACATGTCATGTCTCATATCTAAGAAATCTTTGCCCAAATCAGGGCCACAAAGATTTTCTTCTGTGTGTTCTCCAAGTCTATAATCCAGTAGTCCCCTTCTCGGCACTTCCCATTTCTGCCTGCCTTTTGGTTTCCCTAAGTCAGCCTGGGCCGAGGCAGACGGCCCTCCCCTGACCTGGTCAGAAGGTCAGTAGCAGCCTCAGGCTGCGTCGCAGCTTCCCTAGCCCCCCACAACTCCATCTCCTGGTGGATGCATTTCTGCCTCAGCACTCCTCACAAGGGTGACTGCGGCACAACGATATTTAGAGGCCAGTGAAAATCTATCTGCTAACAAGCTGGATAACCTAGAAGAAACATACTTCCTAGAAAAATACAGCCTTCCAAGACTGACCATGGAAGAAACAGAAAATCTAAACACACCAATTATCAGCAATGAAATTGAATCAGTAATCAAAAAACTACCCAAGAACAAAAACCCTGGTCCAGATGGATTCACCGCTGAATTTTACCAGACATATAGAGAAGACATAATATCCATTCTCCTTAAAGTTTTCCAAAAAACAGAAGAAGACGGAATACTTCCAAACTCATTCTATCAGGCCAGCATCACCCTAATACCAAAACCAGGCAAAGACCCCACCAAAAGAGAAAATTACAGACCAATATCCCTGATGAACATAGATGCAAAAATACTCAACAAAATATTAGCAAAGCAAATTCAAAAATACATCAGGAGGATCAGACACCATGACCAAGTGGGATTCATCCCAGGGATGCAAGGATGGTACATTCAAAAATCCATCAACATCTTCCACCACATCAACAAAAAGAAGGACAAAAACCACATGATCATCTCCATAGATGCTGAAAAAGCATTCGACAAAATTCAACATCCATTCATGATAAAAACTCTCAACAAAATGGGTATAGAGGGCACGTACCTCAACATAATAAAGGCCACATATGACAAATGCACAGCTAACATCATACTTAACAGCGAGAAGCTGAAAGCTTTTCCTCTGAGATCAGGAACAAGACAGGGATGCCCACTCTCCCCCTGTTATTCAGCATAGTACTGGAGGTCCTAGCCACGGCAATCAGACAAAACAAAGAAATATACAAGGAATCCAGATCAGTAAAGAAGAAGTCAAACTGTCACTATTTGCAGATGACATGATATTGTACATAAAAAAACCTAAAGACTCCACTCCAAAACTACTAGAA